CGAAATGCTCTCACATGGTCACGCGTAGACAACCACTGCCAGGGAAGTCCTACTCACTACCTCTAGAGAAGGGAGTGTTGTTCACGAAATTTGAGAGGAAGAAAAGCAAATGTCCGGCGCTTTAAACAGGTTGGTGGATACGGAGAGTCCACCTAGGGGAGTTGGAAAACCCTGATTCCAAACCAATGGTGTACATGGGCTCCAATATCCTGAGGGAATAAATGGTGTATGAACCAATCGTTGGTCACCGGCTACCATGGGACCGCATCTTCTAATGTTGCTCCACTGCCTTGTGAATTAGACCTGTAGGTCTGAGACTCCGGGTGTGGCCCCATAAGAATACCACCTACTTCGGTATGGGTACTCGCGCAATATTCCAGCCCTCAGTCATACCAATAATTATTGCTACTAGCCTCATTGTTATTATGTGGTTCATTTGGATCTGTGCCCCCTTGTTCCAATGTTCATCTGTTGGAATAAATAATAATTAAAAAGAAGGAATAGCAACTATGAATGGTTGCCCTGGAGACAGTTAGATGGGGAATGCTGGTTGACGGCCATTCTCCTGTATGAGTGGTAACAGGTGTAATTAAGTAAGTACGCTGGCCATTTCTTAGCCAACCATGGCTATCGAATATTTAGAGAAGACTCGAGAATCTTGCTATGTAAAAATTGTAAATATACTAATGTTTTTCGTATTTTGGTTTCTACTTTCACTCAACCTGTTTATTCGAAATCTAATTACGTCCATGTTCAGCTGTGTTCTGATTTTGGGTGCGTGTTGAGTTAAGTAGCGTCCGAAGAATACCAGTAATAAGAGTAGTCGAGTTCATAACATACCCACTTTGATGAGATGAAAGTTTTTTATATCTTGGTTGGCTTGTTATGTGTAAATGGTTGATTCAGTCCAATATCTCTGTTTACGCTGTGTTTTTTTTCATACCTTTTAATGCCACAAGTTTTAAAATTTAAACAGGTGTTGATGGTTGAAAATATTTATAACTGGTAGCCATTTTTAAATATTATCAATGGTACTCAGCTATACTACCTGATAATGTAATTTTATTTTACGATGACTTGAGCTTTTTTGTAGTAACCCAATTTATGATTCCATGTACATCAATAATTTTTTTTAGATCGGTCACGATAATTGGGTTAGACAACTTGTATTTCACCCTCACGGTAGACTTTTATTGTCTGCCTCTGACGACAAAACAATTCGAGTTTGGGATTTGAAAAATCGGCGATGTCACAAAACATTAAATGCCCATTCACATTTCGTTACCTCTTTAGGTGAGTTAACCAATAATTTAAATGATTAAAAATGGATTTCACTTTTTGTCATGTGAGGCACTTCAAATGAACGAATATTTTATAGATTAAAGTTAAAATCTAGATATCAGGTAATTGAATGTTGTTCGTGGTTTCAGCACTTCAAATATGATCTGAAATACTTATATTTGTTAAAGCTCTATGTCGTTTCATAGTTCAATATTTTTAATAATACATACAAACTTTATTTAAATGCTAAAAAGAAATATCCCCTATGGCCATTAATAAAATGCTGGAATGTCGACTTTTAATGAACAATAAGTGTTTACAGAATACCTTTGTAATACTGATTTAAACAGTAACAGTAATTAGTTGTAGTGTGCATGTTATGAGGATTATAATGGAAATTTAATCAATAAATACAATTCAGAGGGTATGCTAGGAATTTTAGTTGTGATTCTTTTGAATTTTCATCATTGAAAACAATGTTTTATCGTTTTGTAAATTCTGATGTACATAGTCTTCAATTTTTACTATAATTCTCCCATAAGTTACCAATAATTATGAGTCAAGTAGGGAATCTAATGGCTGTTTAGACGTTGCCTGATGATATGTCTGGCTAGACATCTTAGTCTTTCTACGATGAAAGCATTTTATATCTCATTCGGTTTATGATAATTTATGTGATGCATGTAAGAACTTTCATCTAAATTTGGACGAATAGTTTCACAGCATTTGGGCGCCGAGTTGTGGTGTAAAAACATTCAGTTCTCGCGGTGAACGAACACAAACTTTGCTTAAGTCCATATATTATTAATAGGGGAGTTGCAATGTAATTAGCTGTCCTTAAGCAACTAATAATTAATAAGTAAACTTGAACTCTATTCCAATCTAATCGATCACTTGTTATCTGGACAACAACAGTTTCACTCATCTGTTCTAATCAGTTGGTTTATCTGAATATTTGATGAACAATTAACTGCAACAGCAAAATAAAAACATTCGTTCATTTGTTTTATTTTAAAACAATTCGTCCCTTTGACAAATTTCGATAGTGCAATGAGAAGACGAATATAGAATAGTACAAGTAGTAACAGAATCAGTGGTAATAGGAAGGATTAAACATCCAAGATACGATTCGAAAAGAAAATATAAGTTAATGAAATAAAAACCATAAACTTGAAACTTTGATAAAATATAGGACTTATTATACCATCAAAAAGTGTTTCAAAAATCTTGTGACATGTAATGATAAATAGTAAGGAATCACTGATCGATTCAATAATATCAGGAGAATTAATCGTATAATTTTAAGTCACACAAACTCAATTACATTAGTTTTAATTCAGTATTATAGACTATTTGTGCTATTAATGTCTCCTTTCTGAGGAATACACATGTTTCTATGTAATTATTTTAATTGTTTTACTGATATTATCATAATTATTTAATAGTGTTTTTTTCTATGCGTTTATCTAATTCTCTTTTATTTTATTATGACAGATGTTAACCGTTTAGCTCCCTATGCTGTAACGGGTAGTGTCGATCAAACAATTCATATATGGGATTGTCGATAAACAATCATTACTATGATATGCATTAATTTTTTTGTATTCACTGAAATAGGCAAAACATGAAGTGCGTAATGTTGATCTACTTATATGTGTTCTTGTGGTTTATTGGGTTCTTGAATTTTTCAATTGACGTCCTAATCTATGGAAATTCACCTCTTCTTTTAAACGAACGCAGAAGTTGATTTGTATTTAGGATTTATATCTCCACACTAACACATTATTATTATTATTCTCAGTCAACTATAACTCAGAATCTCATCCAAATATGTTTTGTGTTCAGCTCACGCTTCTGTCACTATCAATATACATAGATATGATTAAAGTACATTCATTTTTACAACCAAATTATGGCTGACCGGTTCTTTTTTTGTTATGATTATTATTTTTGTTTTCCCTCACGTCCATTTTCAGATTTAAAACAAAAAAACATTTTAAATTCTTTTGTACATGTATTTGATCAGTTTTGCATCTTTTGTTTCCTTATGTATACTTCAGTTGTTTTTCTGTTCATCCTTATATTATTGTATGTTAAATCGTTAATGTTTTATGCGCTCTTTTGGTTCAGTTGGATTTCATTCAATCTTCATCGTCATGTTATTGCTACTACAAGAGTATTATCTGTCACAACTGCCGACTTAACAATAAGACCTGTTGTTATATCCAATTACACTGCCTTCCAGTGTCAGACCTAAAACACATTTAGACTGAAAGGAAAAATTCTATGTGATATGTTAATCTGTTTTAAGTTTAAGTAATTTTCTCGCTTATATTTACAGTGAATCAGTCTGGAAAATTTTTAAATTCTATTTTACTTAATAATGTTTCAAATCACACATATATTAGACATTTGCCTATTTAGCTTGTGGAGGTATTTTTCCAATGCAAATGACATATACTACTGACTATATTCCTCATTTCCTTGCTTTTTTGTGTTATTGTGTATAGCTAAAACTGTATCATCAGGCGCTTTTAGATGTCTTCCCAGATCATTGGTTTAAAGAAGTACTGATATTTAACCTGAAAATCTATTTAGTTCTGTAATCTTATAATTTCACTGAAGATTCGATGTGTCAATAAAATTTCCATTCATTTGGTTTATTGAAATCATTTAGGTTGATGATTCAATGTTGGTCGTTGAAAATAAGTTTTCGCCTTACAATCGCAAGATATTTTGTAAATGTACTGTCGCTTATTAGATTTCTTTCCCACTTATATATCGGGTCTAATCAATTTTACTATTATTGGATAAGTCGACATCTTGGATATTTTAAGCTTTAATTTTAGTAATATCTTTAATATCTCATTTGTCATGAGTATGACAGTGGTCTTATGTTTTTCGTGATCTTTAGCATTAGCTTATGATAATTAACAAATGAAAGTTTATCATGCTTCAGTTTTATCTTCGACATAGCAAAATACCAGATTACTTGAGATTCTTGTTATGTTATTAAACATAGCATAAAATACAAACAGTGGAAGTCCTGTTGGTTCAAAGAATACCAAATACACTTTTTAAATGAGATTGAATATCCAAATTGTGATCAGTGATTGCGGTAAAAGTGGATTAGGAAGTATAACAACTTAGAAATAATTGCTGTGATACTGAGTGAATGAAAACGCTGTATGAGTGACACTGATTATACTGATAGGATTTAGAAACTAGATACAAATCGTATGAATAAATGTCTGCACAGTTCGTAAATATTTGTCCAATCAGTTGAGATCAGGGCCAAGAGGTTGACAATAAGTTGATAAAATGACGTCTCCCACTCAGCTGTGATGCATTAAATTTCAAGTTGCACTGACATTACTGTGAAGGCTTAATCAAATGATGTCACAACTTTGCCAGCGTTGTCATTTTTACATATTCTATAAAGCTACTTTAAATATACCACGCAGTGTTGTTAGAGATAAACATCTCGAGTTAAGATAACTTGGTCCGTCAATACTACTACCTCTCAGATCCTCCTCACGCTACATTCTCCAATTGCTTGTTGTTATATTCGTCTTTCTGGATATATCACGTTATATCGCGTTTGTAATTTCTCCGGATTTCATGGTGGAATATGCCTGCTTTTTAAGTACGTTGTTGATGATTGAACACAGATTCCTCATCAGTGAATTTATTTTGCTATAAATTTGCAAATTACTTGTATGTTAATCTGTATTCTGAATTCATCGGAAATATTTGCTCTTTTATTATACGAGTTTTCAATATCACGTGTAATTTACCACCTTCAAAGAACACGGTGCCAATTTCCGGAGATTATTTTCCCACTCCTTTGCTATCAACCAAACAGGATAGTGAAGGTTTATTTTGCTTGAGAGACAAATTAACAGTAAAAAGGAATTTACAGTAGAATATAGTGCGAACCTATGACTTAATAGTAATGGTTAAGTATTCACTCTGTCGTACCCCGTACGGTTGTTCAATTTTTTATTTATGTAGGTGAGTGTTGCGTGTTAGAAAGTAGTTTTCGTATGATGACAGAAGAGACGAGAATTCAGTATATAAACAAAGCAGTTAGTGCAAATACTTAAATTTACTCAAGTTCCGCAAATATTTAAATTACCAGGTAGTAATGTAATTTGACTTGTTGTGAAGCTTGTGATGAGGATTTATTTTCATAGATAGTTTCTTAGTTCTGCATCTTGTGTGACACCTTAATGAACAATTCTTACGACTAACAACTAATATCAGGGCAAAAGGTTAATTTCCTGTAGATGATATCAGCTTCTTTACTACTATATATATACCTGATCCAGAAGAATGTGCCTTATAAGAACACCAGCTGAAGGAATGTAGTAGATTTATGAAGGTTGCTTTGCGTCAAAAGCTGGAGTTAGCAAGGAAATAACACCTACATCCCAAATGTTTGGAATGCTGTCAAGTATGTAAGAGCTGAAGATTACCGGAAAGCAGAAACCATCCACTGTTGAAAGTCAATAATAGGTATTTTAATGAGAATCAACAGCTGTTGGAGGAATAATTCAGACTGTCAGCGAGGACAAGTTGGTTGATTTAAAAGATGTTGACAGTACCAGTAATTTAAAGTGATTAGATTTCTTGATCACTGCAAAGCTGTGTATTTAGATCAGAAGTTAATTTGGGCGGAGTCGATGTTATTTCACAAAACCACGTTACGATAAAAATGGCTTTGTCATCTTTACTAAACTCTTGTGCCAGTTATGTAGATGAAAAATACTTAGTTTCTTCAGATGTTCTTTCAAGATAGACCAAAGGTGAAGAAAATGACGGGTAGATTGGTTTTGATCTGCAATCTCATTTTGATTTCTCTTTATCACTTGATGAAGCTGACAGAAATTCACTTAATTTCGGCACTGTATACATGATTATTAAGCTAAAATAATTGTTACTGTTGTCGAGTATCTTCCACACGTTGAATTCTCATCCACAACAAAGGCAAATAATCCTTCATTTTTACCTAAAAACAAACTAAAATCTGTGCGTTAGTTAACCAAAGCTAGTACATTGATTATGGTAGTAGTAGTAGTAGTAGTAGTAGTAGTAGTAGTAGTAGTAGTAGTAGTAGTAGTAGTAGTAGTAGTAGTAGTAGTAGTAGTAGTAGTAGTAGTAGTAGTAGTAGTAGTAGTAGTAGTAGTAGTAGTAGTAGTAGTAGTAGTAGTAGTAGTAGTAGTAGTAGTAGTAGTAGTAGTAGTAGTAGTAGTAGTAGTAGTAGTAGTAGTAGTAGTAGTAGTAGTAGTAGTAGTAGTAGTAGTAGTAGTAGTAGTAGTAGTAGTAGTAGTAGTAGTAGTAGTAGTAGTAGTAGTAGTAGTAGTAGTAGTAGTAGTAGTAGTAGTAGTAGTAGTAGTAGTAGTAGTAGTAGTAGTAGTAGTAGTAGTAGTAGTAGTAGTAGTAGTAGTAGTAGTAGTAGTAGTAGTAGTAGTAGTAGTAGTAGTAGTAGTAGTAGTAGTAGTAGTAGTAGTAGTAGTAGTAGTAGTAGTAGTAGTAGTAGTAGTAGTAGTAGTAGTAGTAGTAGTAGTAGTAGTAGTAGTAGTAGTAGTAGTAGTAGTAGTAGTAGTAGTAGTAGTAGTAGTAGTAGTAGTAGTAGTAGTAGTAGTAGTAGTAGTAGTAGTAGTAGTAGTAGTAGTAGTAGTAGTAGTAGTAGTAGTAGTAGTAGTAGTAGTAGTAGTAGTAGTAGTAGTAGTAGTAGTAGTAGTAGTAGTAGTAGTAGTAGTAGTAGTAGTAGTAGTAGTAGTAGTAGTAGTAGTAGTAGTAGTAGTAGTAGTAGTAGTAGTAGTAGTAGTAGTAGTAGTAGTAGTAGTAGTAGTAGTAGTAGTAGTAGTAGTAGTAGTAGTAGTAGTAGTAGTAGTAGTAGGAGTAGGAGTAGTAGTGAATAGGAACACCAGCGGGGACAATCGAATTTATTTAACACAAAATTACAGGACTTGTTAATAAAATTTATCGATCATAATATTAATGTTTAATTTTCAAAGTGTCCACAAATTGTCTCAAAATGACTCAGACTTCACTGTTCTTGCGTTTTCACATATATTTCACTCTGTTTCGATTCTTTACTGTTCGATCCTCTAGTCCCTGCTGCCAGACCTTCTGTTCACGACCAACACCATATACTACTTATGTCAATATAAGTAGCACACACCACAGCAGTAGTAGTACAAGTGGTGTGATTATTCAGTTGTCTAGATGAACACATGGACACTGTTTGTCAAGTTTGGACATTTCTCAAGTCAATATCATATCCCTTGTTAAAAAACAGAGATTCTTTGGACGCACCAGTTGCCACTATTAGAGCCAGTGAAGGTGCATTTTTCTTCCAAATCAATCACACAAATATCGTTAGTGTGCTTGAATATAATAGACATTATTTATACTGTATTTGCGGTATCGGTGGCCATTATCTGCGACACAACTAATCTGAAACTTTCATTAGAATCTCATGGTGGTATATATTACCGAATTATAGAGAAGTAAGTATGATAATAAAGACCGTTGGTGATGTTGGTGAATTTGAGTCTTGATGGATTTTTCGTGCATCAAAGTAACCCTCGTGCTATTGACAGAAGAAACCAGACAAGTAGTGAATAGGTCTTTATTTCGATCTTTGCGCAGTCACAGTGGAGCGTGGGATTATCTGTTCAGACAAACAAAGGCTCTCAACATTCAATATAAGATAATAGGGAATATAACGCTTATAAAAAATAAGGAAGTGAATGAATACTTGAGCAGTACCGTTTTGGCATATGCTTGGTTGTTTGGGGTCGACTCTTGACCAACCAACCTAAGCTGTTACATTAGCTTCCCCCTAGAATCGACTTCCATAGGAACGTCGGTTCGATTAACCTATCTATCGAAAACACCTTAGTTCTGTTTCTCATCCCAAGGGAAAATTATCAACTCGCTCACTATTTGACTTACAATCAGTGACGACTAACGCTGTCAGCTGTCAACGATAGTCCACGGATGTCTCTTCATTTACTAGCTTGTCATCTTATTTTGTAGCATGTGATCTCTTCTGCAACTATCGCTGACGGTTTGCTGCGTGCTTTCAAGAGAAAGAGTGTGAGAATGTGGAATAAGAATATCTGAGGAAGTGCCGCGAGCGGGCTACCCAACACCATGTTGGTGAGGTACGATTTTTCCATGCTCAGACCGGCCATCAGGTGTTTACTCACCTGCCTCTTGAGTCGCCCTCAAGTTAAAAGTAAAGAAGAATCTACTTCAAAGGTAATGGTGAAAACCAATCAAACCTGAAGAACTGCTCCACTGCCTGCATAAAATAATAAGATACAAAATGGAAATACATAAATATAATTGATAATTGTTCGGTTCCACGTAAGTGATTGGCCTCCAGAAAGGATTGGTATTCTGAAAGGAAATAGACATAGTGTAGCCATCTGGGTTGCTTTTTGAATTCGTTGTATTTGCCAGTGTTAGTTGTATGAGTTTGGTTAAAATCCTCAGCCATCGTTTCGGAATACCTAGCTTATGTGTCCAGTATTTAAAAAAATATTTAACATAACACTTATATATCCAAGGTAAAAGGTTTGGGGAGTTGTAGGTGAGGCGGAATGAGGAAAAAAAATTATTTTTAAGTAGATGCAGGGTCTGATTAGCTACGTTATTAGATTTTATCCTGGAGCCGAAACTGTCAACATCCTTGACTGACTAATTGGATGTGCCCAGCGAACCGTTTTAGTCATTTGTAAAGATCTATCATCCTTACATTTCGATTCCGTAATGGATTTGTCAGTTAAACGATCTAACAACACGTATGGTGGTTCATGATCTAGATAAGCCGGCTTTAGCCTATCAATACTTACTGTGTCGATGTTTCCATGTTTTTCTATCACGAAATATTTAGATTTTCTTGAGACGACTTTGAAAGGACCTTCAAATGGAGGACTGAGTGGTGCTTTTATTTTGTCACATCTTATCCAGACGTGCGTGCAATTGTTTAGGTCTTTAGGTACATATACGGCACGCGATTGTTCGCGAGTATTAATTGGCTTAAGTTTGGACATATGGTCCCGTAGTTGATCTATGTAATTTTCTAGATTAAGTTTTTGACTGTTAGAAGTAGGGTTAATAAATTCACCTGGTAGTCTCAGAGTTGTTCCGAAAACCAGTTCCGCAGCTGAACACTGTGCGTCAGTTTTGACAGATGTTCGTATTCCCAACATAACTAATGGTAGGAATTCTGTCCACTGATTGGGGTTCGAGTGAGATATAAGGGCGGTTTTTAGCTGACGGTGAAAAAGTTCTACCATCCCATTAGCCTGAGGATGATATGCAGTGCAGCGTATCCTATTGGAGCCTAGAAGTTTAGCCAAGTTATTAAATAGTTCGGATTCGAATTGCGCTCCTCTATCCGTCGTTATTGTTATGGGTGTACCAAAAATGGTTACCCAGTTCTGCATGAAAACTTTGGCTACTGTTTCCGCTGTGATGTCCGCTATCGGGATGGCTATAGGGAATCTGGTAAATCGATCTATGCATGTAAAAAGATAATTAAAACCGTTTGAACGTGGTAAAGGACCTACCAAGTCGATATGCACATGGGCAAAACGTGCATCTGGTTGCGAGAAAACACCTATGGGTGAATTTGTGTGACGATTAATCTTTGATTGTTGGCATGCTGAACACTCTCTAACCCATTTGTGTACATCCTTCTGTAAATTCGGTCATATATATCTGGGATTGATTAGTTTTGTTGAAGCTTTTGCGCCAGGATGAGACAAAGAATGAAAGTTATTATATATCAACTTTCGCATACTTTTGGGAACGAAAGGTCGCGGCATTGCCTTAGTCGTGTCACAGTAGATTAGAATACCATCGACAGGTGATGGGAACTGTTTTAAATTAAGACTTGAATTGTTTGTTTTAAGCAGGTTTTGTAATTCTAGATCCTGCTCTTGTTCGTTTCTCAACGTCTCGAAGTTTACTGTAGACTATAAATAAAAATAATATATTTGTAATATCCCAATGAGTAGGAAATTGGATTTTCTGACGTTCCGTGACTTAGTGTAAGTCACTTCTTCAGAGAATAAATAACCAAATTAAAATTAATCCAAGTTTAAATAGTACTATTTAAAATCCAATTTTCTACTCATTGGGATATTACAAATATATTATTTTTATTTATAACAATCAACCCAATGCTCAATTTATTCGAAATTATCAAATCAAACCTTGGTAATGACACCTACAAACTCATTAATTTACTGTAGACTGCTGGGCTTATTGTGTGACCGAGAAATTCTAAAGTTTGAACACCGAAAACACACTTACTTTGATGTATGTTTATTCCATGTTCATCCAGTCTTTTCAACACTGCTTGTACATGCTGTTCGTGTGATTGCAAATCGGGGCTGGCAATTAACAAGTCGTCTATATACCCCTGCGCAAATGGCATATCTCGAAGTAGGTTATCTATGAATCTTTGAAATGTCTGTGCCGCATTTCTCAGGCCGAATGGCATGCGTACAAACTCGAATAAGCCAAAGGGTGTAGTAATAGCTGTCTTGGGAATATCTTCATCAGCCACCGGGATATTGTGATATGCCCTGACTAAGTCAATTTTAGTGAATATGTTCATACCCTGTAAACCGTTGTGAAATCTTGGATATGAGGTATTGGGTACCTATCTGGTACGGTTTGACGGTTTAGGGCTCTGTAATCCCCGCACGGTCGCCAGTCACCTTCATTCTTCTTTGGGACCATATGCAAAGGGGATGCCCATTGACTATCAGAGGGACGGATAATACCCAATTGTAGCATATAATCAAACTCGGCCCTAGCGATTTTGAGCTTATCTGGTGCTAGTCTCCTGGGTTTTGCAAACACCGGTGCACCTTCGGTTTTGATAGTGTGACTTACTTTTAGTTTGTCTTTAGAAGGCTGTGGGTTTGGTTTAGTTAAGTTTGGAAATTCCGCGAGTATATCTTGGAATTTCGCTGTTGTTACTGGGGAGTTTGAATCAAGTTAAGAGAGCTGATGTGACTTTCTTTGCCTTTTGTGTAATACGAAGTTTCTTTTAGTGTTAATCGCCGTTTCTTGGTGTCAACTAGAAATTCGTATCTCTCTAGAAAGTCCATCCCCAGTATTGCCAGATCTAAGTCGGCTACCGTGAAAACCCAAGGGAATTGCCTCCTGAACCCCAAATCTAGGGTTAAAGTTTTCTGCCCAAATGTCGCAATTTTAGTTTTATTTGCAGCTTGAAGTGTAATTGATGATGTTTCTCGACTAATCTCAGTTTTATTTTGAGGGATGATGCTAAGAGCAGCGCCAGTATCCACCAAGAAATTCAAGCCAGAGTTTCTGTCTCTAACATAAAACAAGCGACTGTTTAGGCGCCCCTCCTCAGTCGTCGCGACCTGGGGAGGGGTTACTCGTTTCCCGCTGTCTTAGAATTATGCTTAGGCCAGGCGCATGGTTGCATGCACTTGGTTGAGTTGACACCAAACTTCCAGTGGTACCAACAAAACTGCCCAGATTGTCTGGACATTTGTGACCTGTTTTGTGACTTGGATCGTGGTCGTTGTGGTGACCTGCTCCTGTTTCTATGACCCATTTGCATTCTGGTGACAGCCTCAGTGAGACTCTTAACACTCGCAATGAGTCCTTCTATTACGGGGTCTTTTGCTGATTCTACTTTTTGTGTGTGATTTATTGTGCCTGATCCAGTTGGAGGACCTCTTTCCATTATTCTGTCGGCTATACGCGCTAAATGAGATAATGAGGTTTCAGGATCTTGTGCATCCAAACAGTGTTGGACGTAGCATGGGAGAGCTTGTATCCATCCTTGTTTTAGGACTGCTTCACCCACTGTGTTATCACCCACTAAGACTTGGAGGTGACGTAAAAACTGTGACGGCGA